TCTAGATGCCAGAAGTTCGAAGCAGACAACTAAGTAGCGTACGATGTTGTAGCTCACTATCCATTTTACCATCGCGAGAACAAGTTGAGATTGAGGCTGACGTACATTGTTTAGAGTCGCTCATGTGATGACTCGAGCTACATCCGACATGCTATCGACATCTACGGTGCGTACGAATTCATTACCGCTTGCGAGGGATATCGACTCTGTAGTCATATGTCCTAAAGTAAACAAAATTCAGGACATATTTCTTGCTGGGTTAAAACCACGTTTTGTTGTGTGGCTCGGTTAGCCTTTTCAGTGCTTTTTCAGTCGAGCAGCATGCTACGTTTTTACAATGTATTTTGTGCAAATTAAGCTCAAGCACATAAAATTTAGTACATTTCCAAGCAATATGTATACATTTGCCGTCATTACCACGGCAACGGCATCTGTGTACGGACTTCACGGATGCGCCAGGACCATACGATAGCGCGATTTTGAACTTTTTGTGAGCAGTTAAACAAACGATGTATTTTACTACCGAGCTTATGACGCATATATCCAAAAGCTCGTTCAAAACACAGACAAGAACAAATTGGTCTTATTGGAGACAAAGAATACATGCTTAATAAGACTTGAATTTTACGACAAAACTTTAAAAAGTAATTCGTGTAAGGTACATTTATTGATCAAGAGTAGGGATGATTGAATAATCGACATTTATGCTGAAAGTTACTCTAAATTACAAAGCAGCTTTGATGAATAAGCCGACTCATAATTAATTACAAGGAGAAAGTGACTAGGAAATTTCCAAAGATACAAAAAGCGTTCATTTAGCCCTAGAATAATCTCGTTGTCGTCGAACATCATGAGGAGGCAGATAGGAAAGCCGTATTACTTAAAAGAAGTAGCCGAGCGCCATATTAATTCAGCACCACAAATTGCAGCGCAACAGTATCCAGCGCAGCACTTCACCCCAAATTTGTGGTGATCGAAATATTGTTATGCACAAAGCAAGGCGTAACAACATTGTTATCCTTCGAAAGTCGCAACATGGTGGTCAGCATCCTCTGTCTTGATAATGAGTTGTGAGCAATTTCTTTGTTCATTAATTGACTTTTTGGCAGGAATTCGACCCATGGCGTGGCCACTTCGGTGTCCAGTACAATGTGATACAACGTATGTACTATATGTAACGCCCCAGAAGAAATTCGCTTTCCATCACCTCGCGTCTATCACCTGTGTCGCATTGGGATATTCGTCTAACTTGTCGATCAAACTAATGCCTTTGCAGACTATCTGCTAAATGAGAGCTAAGCCTTATCTCGCTCGCGCTACTGTCGTCGAAATTCTTCCAGCTCCAGCAACATAGTCATCGCCAGAATCGTGTGGATTATTTGTGGCACTGTAATTATGTTCTTCTTCAAGAAGAAAGACCCTGACTCGTTCTAAGCTTGGCAAACATGAAATTCAAAGTAAAACGTAATTCAGGTGCGTAGCGCTTTCTGTAGACAGGATTGATATTGCAAGAACGAGAGGGAATTAACTAACGAACATTGGCGCTTGCAGATTTACATTGCCGAGACAAAGCGCGCCCCAATCATTCGCATGGACATTAAGTTAGTTTTTTTTGGCGAAGTACGAAGAACGGCAGAGTTTTCATTCACGAATGACACCATGCATATTAAAGTCGGAGCAGTTGAAGCAGTTGGCACTAGAAAGCAGTCATTTTAAAGCGGGCTTAAACGCGTACGGAGAAAGACCAGCAAGCGATCGCGCAGTAACCCATAATGCTAGATGAATTTTGCGAATGCGAAATGGAAAAAATTGGTCTGTATTTTAGCGAAACGGTCGAGATAAATTAAAGCAGCGAGATTTTCATGAAAGTTGCGAAGCAAAGAGTTTTAATTTACGATGTAATTTGCGCGCTATGCAGACCTCTTGTACTTATTCTGAGTGTAACGTAATCTCTTATGCGTACTAGGCACTTTATACAGTAAATATAGTAAGAAGAAAGCCAAGAGAATTTCAAAGAGCAAGCTGTATTGCGTGCTCTGGATTCATTGTCAGAAAACTGCATTACATGCAGATCTGAGCTCTGAGTGCGAGTAGCAATTGCATTAACTATTTATTCACAGCAGTGGCTTAGCATATTATGAATCTCAAAATTATATCGTTGTTTTTCCACTTCTTAAAACCCATGTCCTAAACTAAAAACTACAGAAACAACGACTTGCTTAGGCGCCATCCTTCAGTTCAAATATCCAGAGATCATCACACATCTAGGCTATGCAAAGACATGAGTCACCTCTTTATCAATGATTAATTAACATTCAACATATAGTCGTACCCTCATGTACCGAAGCTTTCACCATCTCCATCGCCACACTTTATAAAAGGCTGCCGACTTCAACACCGCGAACAGCGTTAGTACGATTTGTGAGCTGGCTCAACGATTGCGATTAATATTGGCCTGCTTGATATCTTCGATAAATGAGAAAAATTGCTCCAGCGTATCACTTTTCTTCATTTATTCGGGTCGAAGAATGCTAGGTATGTCGAAATGATGCCCGGTTTCGCTAGTAAATTCAGTCATCCAAGCATTTAGCAGCTTAGCCTCTTCGTCTGTTTGTGATACCATATATTTTTTGGCATGAGCTGCCGATTTGCCAGTGAGAAGAGAGAATTGGTCGTCCCAGTTCTTCCCTTCCATCTTCTTATTATACTGCGTGATCAGTCGGTCGATTTGATCTGGGCTTAGCTTCGTCCGCAATGTCTCTAAATCCGAAGTGGCCTCGACTGGTCCAGCTTGAAAGAGACGCTCCAAGATTAGCTCTCTATCCCAAAAATCTTTCTCAGATTCCAGTGCGTGAAACTCATTTAAATCCACTTTTACCAAATCCAATTGTTCAACTAACACACGGCTGATGGCACGAATAGCCTTGTCATCCTTTACTGCATAACGTTTGTTGGCCATTTCATAAACAACACTGCTTCTTTTAATCGCTTGATCGGATTTGAATTTTGGTGGAGATTTATCAACCCTTGTATCCCCTGCCGCGCTTTAATGGGAATATTCTGCTTAAATTTGAATTGGCTCGGACCCGGAAAATGCAAAACAAGCTTTTTCAGGCTTCCCCATGACCTGGCCTCAGACTGAAAACTGTCTTGACTTGCTGATAATGACGGAGTCTTTCTCAGATGCTCATAGTGTTGAGGCTCCGAGGAAACTGATGTCATGACCGCAAATATGATGGTCTTCAAAGATGCAAGGATAGTTATCATTAATAACTCTGCGACACACCGTAAACGTAGTTTGGTCTTCCTCTTGAAAAACATGATCCGAAGAAACAACGTGAGCACTGCGAAGAAAAACGAAAGTAAAAGTACACGTGGCTACCGTTTAAGCACACGCAGCTTTTGTTATCATTCGTTATTTTTCTTCGCAGCTTCTATTGTCTTTCTTCTGCACATCATAGATTAGATGGCAGAAGTCAATGTCACACAACTATAAAGGATCTAGTGTACTACAGGTGTACTACAGTATGTATTGTCATTATCATACTTACAGCTGCTGACGTCCAATCTTTATTGCTGTACTTCAAGATTATTTCTCATGAACTCTTAAAATTTGAAGAAAGCATAAACAGTGACTTCATTTATCTGGAGAGTTAACAACTAACTTTTAACTGAATCTACTAAGACAAAATGTATTGCTCTTACGTTAAAGAATGCAGATATTCACGCAGCACATACACATTTGCGGCGAGCTTTATTGGTCTCTTATGACTACATCTCAATCGTATCGCTGTTTTGATGTACGGCTCTCAAATCACGAATCTTATTCTCAAACCTTCAATTAAACATGCCAATAATACGGTTTATGATCAGATGATCATTATTGTACACGTAGACAGCCGGTGAATCTTTAGCACTCACTACGCATCAGATAGTTATAAACAATCCTGGTGTCCAGTTATTTCTGCGCTTACGTGATGACCAAAGTACAACAAATTTCCCGCAGAATATGGACAGAAAAAATGTAGATGAAAGAATTGATTAATGCTTCCCATTGATTACAGGTATAGATTAATAGACGAAGGAATACATAAAGAGAATGTAGGTGCCTGCATTGACAACATGTGATGATTAGCTATCCAAACGTTTTTTGGAAGAAAAGCGGACGTGAACAGATGACACAGGATGAATAATGGCAAAAAGACTAGGGATAGTTCGAACAGAAGACTCAAGAATGACTTAATAATGAAATTAAGAGATAAGCATCCTGAACAAACAGGACATCGACAATTAAAAGGGCATGCTACCGGGTATAAAGCGGTATTAACGCCGCTGATTAACTAAAACCCAGCAGGTAAGTGCACCCATTCCCGCTCTCTTTGTCAATAATTGTCGAGAAGTACGAGCTCATATAAAACCTGCGACGTTGCGTGCGATCAGGTCATAACAAGTACCGCCAATTGGCCGTTATCCTTATCATACACAGTCTGCGTTATTTTTGATAGCATAAGAATTAGTAAGTTAGTCAAGGGCAATAAAGTGGTTACGAAAGCCAAGATCAAAAAAGCTTGCAGTCATTCCTTTATCATATGATATGTGATCGCCGGAGCTGCTCGTGTTTGGCGTAGCTTCTCGTCACATAATTGTGGAGGTGAATCTTCTTCATACAAAGCGGAATCCATTCCCTTTGGCTGTATGTGCTTGAAAATTGTCAGATGTACGAACCGTTTGTGTCGTGCAGCCTTATATGAGCACCAATAAATCAAACGTGCAGTTTGTATAAAAGAGCCGGTTTACCAGCTCAAGAACTTGCCTCCGTCGCAAGAAAAAGCTGTTTGGTCCTGCAAATATTGCACTACATGGGTCGTATGTAAAATTATCGGCTATCATCTTTTTTATTATTGCAGTTGGCGACGCTGAGAAGCGTTAAGTCATCCGGAGTTCCTTCAGAAACACAACATCGACTCCAACTATTTTATTTGTAATCAAAATGGAAGTGATACTATCAAGCAGCTATTTGAAATCCCGCAAAGGAGTACAACAATTATACTTGTTCTTTTGCTTTGAACCTTTCATTGCATCACAGATGTAACAGATCCTACGTAACTCTGCAAAAGAATCCCTGTAAGTGTTGACACCAACGAGTACCACCTATGTCAACGACCACACCGATCACCTTGCTTACCTGGCAACAACTCCTTCTCTCCGCGCTTTTGGTAAGCCCAAACTTAACATGCAGCATCTTCTTCGTCTCACTCAGCATGTCCTCGTCATGCGCCACGACAATGCGGACTATCGCATGGTGTTCTGGACATGAACAAGTATATAATGCTCAACATTTGCGCCACTATAGCCAGCGCCTCATGCCAGCGGCCTATCACTGCTCCGTCATGACGCGCTGTGTCTCCTGCCTTCATATCGTCGACGTCCCATTTTTTTGGCCGGGCATTGAGCCCCTCATGAAGTAGTCCCTATCATACAGATATCGCTTGGCTTTAAAACGTTCGAGCTCATAACGTCATAATTGGTAGCTGTAGCGCAGAGTAATTGGTTCAGGTTTACGTCTTTAATAGATTCTGAACGCTCGTCTGCAAATCACTGCATTCCAGAAGACGCACTCGACTTCTAGCAGTACTCCTACCAATCATTATGCATCCACCATCGTGCCTTTTCATAAACTCTAGCTTGATAGAAATCTAAATGACACGACGCTTCCACACCCACGCTATTGAACAAGCTCGATGAGATCACTTGGCTCGTCTTGCAATGGATCCGAAAATCCTGGACGTCGCAAGCCTCCGCATGTTTATATCACGAATCCTTGTTTTAATCCTTCAATTGAACATGCCAATAATACGGTTTATGATCAGATAATCATTACTGTTTATCTTTACATACGTAGACAGCAGGTGAATCTTTAGCACTCACTACACAATAGAAAGATATAGACAATCCTGGTGTCCAGGTATTTCTGCGCGTACGTGATGACCAAATTACAGCAACTTTCCCGCAGAACATTGACAGAAAAAATGCAGATGAAGAATGCTTCCCATTGATTACAGGTATAGATTAATAGACGAAGGAATACATATAGAGAATGTAGGTGCCTGCATTGACAACATGTGATGATTAGCTATCCAAACTTTTTCTGGAAGAAAAGCGGACGTAAAATGATCAATAATGGCAAAAAGACTAGGGATAGTGCGAACAGAAGACCCAAAAATGATTTAATAATGAAATTAAGAGATAAGCATCCTAGACAAACAGGACACCGACAATTAAAAGGGCATGCTGCTGGGTATAAAGCGGTATTAACACCGCTAATTTGCTAAAACCCAGCAGGTAAGTGCGAACCCATTCCCGCTATTTTTTTCAATTTAAATAAGGGTTTATTGCAAAAGGTGATACAAATACAAAATATTCGCGAGATGTGATACAAGTGTGTTTTAAACACTAAAAATAACGAGACCTGGTAAAATTACCGAGTGTAGCCATTCTTGGCAATGGTGTTTAAAACACAATTGTATCTATTTGTATCACCTTTTGCAATAAACCCATTAAAAGGTTCTACTGTAATAGTATCCACGCCCTGTGTGATAAATGAGCAACCAGGTAATTCATTGAGGACATGCGCACGTATAATGTCTAGGGTTGATGTGGTAATCTGCTTGTGAATTATGGAGGACAAACGATCCACTCCATTTTTTGCTGCATCTGCCTGAAAGATAGACTCTGCTGTTGACCCTCCCCGTATTTTTCATAACAATTGTGTTTAAAACATAATTGTATCACATCTCGCGAATATGTTCTATTTGTATCACCTTTTGCAATAAACCCTTTAAATAATTGCCGAGAAGTACGAGCTCATATAAAACATGAGACGAGCGATCAGGCCACAACAAATTTCTACAAATAGCGCCAATCGCGCGATATCCTTACCATACACGGTCTGCCCTTCAGACTTTGATGCACAACAGAACCTTGATCTTGATGGATACAAGGCTTCACTCTTAATATCAAGTGACTCTTGGAACGCATTAGAATTAATAAAGTTAGGCAATGAAGTGGTTACGAAGCCAAGATCAACAAAGCTTGCAGTCATTCCTTTATCATATAAATTGCGATCGCCGGAGCTGCTCGTGTT